ACGTTTAGTGCTACGTGGCAAATACGTTACATACGCAACTACGGGTATATGAGCATGAGTGGTTATTTTTACTTTTTTAGTACATATATGTATATTTTTTAAGTTTTACTTTATATACAATTTCACGATGGAATCTTGTTCTTTATCACAAAACTGAAGATAATGCTTTATCTAAGATAAGTGTGCCACTATTTTCGACCATAAACACGTTTTTGTCGAAAAATTTATCAACTCTGGAAATATGCTCATATATGTAAGAATGTATGAAAACTTATAAACATATTTTATTTACCAAAATAACATGGTAATAAAGATTATAATTATCTACTTAATAACTACTACATAATAACTATTCGCTTTAATTTCAATTTGCTATAAAATTTTCAGTGGTCAAACACCACTTGGCACCAACTCAACACTTGCCGGCGCGGCTACATTTTGCCTCCCCTCAATCAAACTCTCTTTCATGCAATCTTTTCAAATACATATGTATACATACATATAGTACATAGAAAAATGTATGTACGTACATATGAATGTAGGTACATTAGATTGCATCACCAAAAAAAGTTGCGGTTTTTCCGGCGGGATTACAAAACCTAGTATGTATATGTTAAGACGTCCAACAAAATATTTCGGAAAAATCTTAAGATTTAAGTGAGCTGGACTGGTTTGAAAATACCTCTAAAAAAGGAGCTTTTTATGAATAAAAATAGTTTCTTAAAGGACTTTTTGAACAAAATCCCCTCAGATGACAAAACGGTTTAAGCTTAAAAATTCTACATAAAAATATTAAAAAATTTTATCAACGGAATCAAATAATAACATTTTTAATGTTGTTTTTTTTTTTACTTTTTTGAAAGATTTGTGTAAGAAAAACTTGAATAGCTGCTCCAAAACTTTACCGATATAGACTTATGACTTTTTATTTCTTTGCAAAAAAACTCATTCACGTCACAATATTTTCTTTATCAAATACCAGCACATCTTATTTTAACATGGAATGACACACGTTTATCTTAGCTTCCTCTTTGATACTTTGAATGAGCTTATTCGCAAAGAAATTAAAAGGGTGAGAAATTATCTCACCATTGATACCTCTCAAGTCGAAATTGGTAAGGTTTTGGCTGAGTTACTCAGGTTTTTCTAAAACCAGTCTTCGAAAAAAGTTCAAAAATAGCATCCAAAATCTTATTGTCATGATTTCGCAGAAAATTTTTTTAAATATTTTTATGCTTAAACTGTTCAGTCATCTGAGGTATTTTTTTCAAAAAAAGCTGTTTTTACTAGTAAAAAACTCAATTTTTGAAGGTATTTTCAAATTAGTCGAGCTCACGTAAATCTAAATATTTTTCCGAGATATTTTGGTGGAAACCTTAAAATATAATAGATTTTATAATTCCAATGGAAAAACAGTAGCGATTTTTTTTTTGTATGGGGAGTGATGCAGTCTAATGTACATGTGTGTGTGTGCTCGAAAGCATTATCTTATCATAATCTAAACACCAAAAAAAAAAAAATTGGACAACAGGTGATTTGTTGTTGCGGTTGTAGTGCACAACTGCACACACACATTTGGAGTGGTGTACATACATACATACATACACACATATATTTCACACCATTTCGACGTGATGTTAAGCAAATTATCTACACGCATATATTATCTGTAACATACAGAAACCGCATCAGCTCCATACACCCATATAGCCTTATTCATATATACGCACACATTCACCTATATTTATTTATGCAAAATAAAAAGGAAACAACCAAAGTGCTCTAGTAAAGTGAGCACACCGTACGAGCACATCTGTCTGTCGACTTACGAGCTCATATTAGCCAGTTTAGTCGTTCACTTTCCTCATAAGCCAACGCGTCAATCAGCGAGCGTAAATAAATTAACGCGAAAAATTAAAAAAAAAAAATTAACTACTTTCGCAAAATTCTAAAATTGCAAAATGCATTTTGTGTGTGTTTGTGCAAGTGTGCGGCTTTTTGAGCTATTCAACTTTTTTTGTTGCACAAAGCAAAGCTCGCCGCTTTCAACCAACTAACTAATATTTTACTAATTATTAAGTGATCTCGTTTTTTTTTACTACTTACATGCATACATACCTCATATGTGTGCCCATTTAAAGCTCGTGTTAATGTCCGTCGGTAATGCGCTATTAGTTAATAATTTAACACTAATTGATTGTGCTAATTGTGTGCTAAGCAACAGTGGCTGCGAAGCTTATGGAAAAAAATAAACAAAAATTCAAATGAAAGTAAATTTAAAAATTGTGTTAATTACTTAAATTCGCTTTCGAGGTATGAAGTTTTGAAATGTTTTAAAGAAATCAATTTGTAAAGACTTTTGCTGAATTTTTTTTTATAAATATTTAAAATTTTTTACTACTCTGCAAAAATGCGAAACATTGTGTGCAACTAATCTCTATAGAGACTAGTCGCGGATTGATCTCCCGGGCACATAACTGAGCAATAATTCTTCTTCTTCTTTACGGGGGCTGCAACTGCCTAAGCGATTTGGTCGTTTCTCTACTGTGCCAACTTATGCCAATTGGAAATGCTAAGTGAAGCCAAGTCCCTTCCTTACCTGGTCTTTCCAACGCAGAGGACGCCTTTATCTTCCTCTGTTACCAGCATCGCGACCCGCATGGAATACTTTCAGAGTTGGAGCGTTTCTGTCCATTCGAATGAAAGTTCAATTAAAATCGCTGCGCGTCTTGAATCGGCCTGCTTCCGCTTTGATGATTCCCTTAATCTAATGGGACCCCATGTGTGACTGAAAAAGTTAGGAAGCTGTTTACAGCTCCTGATAAGATGGCTGATGCATTCAATCCTATACACTCTTCCGATTAATTTCTGATTGCTATTTTTCTCAGACTAGAGCCGATCGGTCCGATCCCTATGATGGGAATGACGAGCAGTGACAATTCAAAGTTCTTCCAGAAGTTGCTTTTGTAGTTGCGTATACTTAAAATGCTATTAGGCCCTTTTTGGTATTTCCCCCGCGTTGCTCTTCTCCGTCAGTTTTTAGTCAAGGACAAAGCTATGTAATGTATTTCAGCTAGTCCTATCCTGCTTTGGTAAGGAAAATTCAGGGGTGTTTGTCTTTTTTGTAAACAAGATAAGTTCAGTTTTGAAGGATTAACATTCACCGTGCCCGTTCTAAATCCAAGCTATCCGAATAGGCAACTTGCTTTGTTCTCTTTGCTTGCCAATGAAGTCCATAATCGTCCCATTTACCAAAAAGAACTTGATCAATTTGGCCAAGTGGGACAGAGATTAAGTTTTCACAAGGGGCGAAATATCTAGACGTGATACTAGACAAGCCACACGGGCATTTTTTTGCTTGGCAAAGCATGATTATTCAATGCAGCGACAAAACCGATTGTCATTTATGCAGCACTGGCGGGTACCCAAAAGCCAAACATGCAACCTCCAGCATCACTCTGGGTAAGCTCCACCACACCACAAGCATACCGCCTCTAGCTATACTTTACCGAGTTTAAGTAGCTTGAAAAGTGGGGACTTAGGGGCCCTTTTGGGTGTCCTAACACCATTCGCAAATGATTCCGTAGTAAAGCTAACAGACTCAATACTACCGAAGTTGACCTCTTATAAAACCCTACAAGCTAATAATACCCGATAGGGATAGCTATAAAACGATAGTTGGCGTATTCAGCGAACGATCTCAAGTTTGGGGCAATGATGGATCCCAACTTGAGGATGGGAATTTCGCGGCCGGCGATTATGGGCTTAGATTTCCAAAAAGCATTCCGACGACCCAACCGTATCTCAGGCGGAATTGTAGTCTGTACTCACTAATGACAATAAAAATCATGTCGGTTAGCCAGGCAGCGTTAATAGCCGTTGACTCTTGCAGAGCGGTATCACGGCTAGTAGACAGTACTGAAAAACTAGGATCTGATAACAGAGTTAGTGGGTTCTCAAGCATGAGAGCTTCAATGGAAACAAAAGGACTGACACTCTAGTGGGATGCGGGCCCAACTAAGCCTTATCTGCCCTCAGCCTTTCTGTCATCCGACCAGAGGACACACTGCAGTGGAACTCGATAAAGGCAAAAGGCAATCCAAAATATGCATAACTCTCTCTCCCTGATCGACCGCTAAATCTCAGCAGAGAGAGTTTAAGAGCTCCACCCGGTTGCCTGATAGGACATCTGCTGAAAATCGGACTCATTGAGGAGGCGAAATTCAGATTTTGTGAGCTATGCTTAATTTCAGCAATAGCCTAAGGTTGGAGCGACTCTTTAAGCGTTAGCACAATAGATCTAGTTAGATCGCAGCGCTATTTTCCCTGTATTTGCAAAGTAAATAAGCGCTTCTGACGTAGGATAATTCGTCTGACAGCGCTGAGATAAAATGAAACAATCTTGCTTGGCTGAGTTAGTACAAAGTTAATATAATTCAAGGTTAAGATAACTCATCGAGTTCATCGCCCGGCATTTAACTCTTTGAGGGACGGAAATTTCAAGAGCTTTTTAGCCCAATAAGCGCCAAAGAAAAATTGGTTCTGGTTTTTGCTTGTAATAATAAAAATTTATTGAATATGAATAAAAACTAAAAAAAAAAATTAAAAAAAAAAGATTATAAAAATAAAATAAATTAAAAATAATATAACACAAAATGAAATAAAATAAAAAAATTTAATTCATGTTGTACAAATTATATATATGTATATTTAACATCTTTGCTACACATAGAATTGAGGAAAATATTTGCGATTTAAAAAATTGCCTTACTTCGCGCAACACCTCAAACATATGTATGTGGTTCAAATTTTAAACCAGTGCTGCCGAAAGAGTTAAGATAGGATAAATTAGTGGCTAACGACTAGTTGAGATAAAACATACATACATACAAACATACCTTTTCGTATTACATCTTGCTACTAAATTCATAAGTATAAACGCATTTATGCTTCACTTTATTTAGCTAACTATATTAATTTTAAATTATTTCCTGTTGCAGATCAATAAATACAACATTAGAAAACAATAATAAGACATAAATCACGGCGCATGAAAGTGCAAAGAAAGCGAGCAACGTACAGCGAGCGCATTTAACGAAAAAGAGGGAAAGAAGAAGAAAATTGTTGATAAACACAAAAAAAAACATTAATGGGTATTATGCTACAATTATTAATAAAAGTAAAAACAATTTTCAATTACCAATACCGAATAAAATTGCAAGCGGAAATTATAAAGATTGAAACGTCGCGTCGGACAGACGGTCTGTGAAAGCTATGAAAAATAATTAAAATCAATAAATACAGCAGTAACAACAGCGAATATTTACATTTACAATAACAACATTCCAGCATTCCAATTGCTAAAATACTGTATGTAATAACAACCATAACAGCAGCTAAATAAATAAAAACAACAGCAACTGCGCCGGCAATATCAACACAACAACAACACAATGGACGCCAACAGAGCGACTATAAAAAATAGTAGCGTTGGCTGCGCAGCCAACGATGCCCGTCAAATGTCGCCATCGCGCGATGAAGTCGACTTTGTTGTTGTGTCGTCTAACAACAACAATAATAATAATAACAACAACAATCATTTTATCAATGGTAAAATCATGAATGGCAGCAATCATCACCTCACAGCGGCCGATAATGCAACGAACAACGCATTGAACTCAAATTCGAATACGACTTCGAAAATGTTTGCGAACTCGAAAACGCTAACAAATGAGCATTTACAATACCAACAAAACCGACCAGAGACGCAACAACACAAAGAGACGGTGAAGAGTAAAAAGAAAGCAGCGACTGCAAACAACAACAACAACAGCAGCAGCAGCAGTCAAGAAGAGCCAAAGAAGAAGAGTTCGACTAAGGAGCGTCTATCGCTGTTCTCCACACTGGGGCGACGCATCAGTCAAAAGGCGTTGGGCCAAAAAGATTCCAATGCAAATGCATCAACGCCACAGGTATCAGCGCAGGTGGAAAAATCAACAGCCACGGGCAGTCCATCAACAGCAGCAACAGCAACGACAGGAAACGTGCACACCGCCACATCTCCCCGCCAACGCACGTTTGTGAAGAGCTCGTCCATTGCACGCTTGTTGGGCAACACTTATCAGCATCATGCCAAGAAATTTGAGAAGCAACAACAATGCATAGAGCAACAGAACAGCAAAGCGCAGGTGGATGGCAAATTCCATACGTACGGTGGTAGGCGTCGTGTCAGCGGTCCATATTTGGATCGTTTCAAACTTTACTCCAAGGATGACGCCGATGTCAGCTCAAGCAATGTTGACAGCAGCAATGATGGCGACGATGCCGAATCAACAATAGATTTCACCGATATGCTGGAATTGAACGGCGACACTGCCTGCGATGAGCTGCAACGCGCTTCAAACGGCCTCGAACGTTTCTGCGATCATAGCACAGTGGCAGCTGGTGAAGATGAAGCGGCTGCAGAATTGGGCAGCAAAACTATGCGTACATTGTCGCGCAGTTTGGGACGATTGTGGGGCAAGCGGTTGCATAGTGTGGACATAAGTATACCAGATCCCGAGTACAAGGTCTCTTATTTGGGCAATGTGCTGACCGGTTGGGCCAAAGGTGAGTCAGAACGAATCAAATTATTTATGTAGTTACCAGCAGATTATAAAATGTACATATTGAGTGATAACTTGGAGTAACATAGAGTTGGCTTCGCGATGTCTCAAATATATGTATATTTCTCAAAGTTATAGAGTTTAGCGGTCGATCTGTATAGCGTCGAATCAGAACCGGGAGTATCTATTAATTTGGAAAGGAGACGATCTACTAGCACAAGGATTTTTTAGAAGTCCCAGTGTAAACTGTCGGAAACCTCGAAAACAAAAAATAAATCTTACTTTAACACCGGCTGGTTTAATCAATTACGTTCTACTGACTAGTCCTTCGGAAGTAAATTTTTCCGAATACATCATTAGAGTTCATAGCATCAGGCATAATATGAAGGCTGCTATAGCAGTTCTATCGGTTGATTTCTCAACCTGGTATCCCTTATCGGAAGTAAGTGTGGGATATAGATCGCCAACGTAACTGGGATGGCCGAGTACCGTGATCCACTAGCATTTTAAAACTAAAATCAAGTGCAGATGGACGGACAATCTTAAGGCGTGGCTTAAGACCTCCACTGCCCTAAGCAGGCCAACGGTTAAGCCAATCTCTCTTTTCCGAAGAATTATGGCCTGCCATAAGCATTTTACAATCTTACTTGTTTCAAATAGCACCGAAAGGAGCTCACCATCCTGAACTCAGCGTCTAAAAAGCCTGCATCCTGCAAACCTCAAATCCTTAAAATAATGTGTAGCTCCTTACCGAAGACAAGACTCCTGCAAAGCCCTTTCAACTAAACTCGAGCCAACTATGAACAAGTTTACTGAGTTTAGGCGTTAACCAGAGTTGGTTTTCATGGGCTTTTCTCACCAAAAATGATAAGATTTTTTTTGTGCAGATAAACTTGCGGGTATATCGTCGTTTATTTCAGAATTAAATATATGTACGTCCTATCTCAATATAAATCCAATATATCGGCAGCTGAGATAGGGCGATTTTGAACCATTTGTTGGGATAAGGCACGCTTCAACCAAAATCTGAAATAAGTCGTTTTTCCAGCGTTTGCTGAGATAGGCCATGAAAAAGTAGAAAGTCTTACTTAAGCATTGCTATCCTTAGGGTCCGCCAGCACGACGATAATGCAGCTACTTAGTTTTTCCATTAAAATATTGATAGGATTGATGTTAAGGCACGATGAGTCAGTACTCCACTTAGTGTATTTTTCCGCAGAATCTGTCAGGACCTACTAATTCTAGTCCGAGCTGCTGGGCGATACGGGCGCTAAGCATGGCTAGATAATGCGGTTGGAAGATATAATAAAAATGAACGCATATGGTGAGCAAAATACCCGATATTAAACTTCTTAAGGTCACTTCAGGTGCAGGCACAAGGCTTTATGCCGCCTCCTATAGTTTTTTGTTAGCAAAAATACATCCACAGGTCTGTAATGTCTGCGGAGGCTGGGCGTCAAACGATGAGTAATAGATCGTACAGACGACCACGTTAACAGATATCTTACTGTCACCGACTCAACCACAGCAGGTCTGTAGCGGTCCTTGTTGCCTTTTGCTACCGGTGTCACTGCTCCCTGCTCCCAGCATTTGGCATTCAACTGTGAAGTCTGGCTGTCGCCGGATTGAAGCAAATCCTTCACACAAATTAGGATTGTTCCCAGTGCGCTTTGCCGGGATGCAGAGTTTCCTGACCTCTTTCTTACTAGCATTGCTCTGACTAATTGGCTTTATATGTTTTTCGAAATGTTTTGTTCTTCTTTATTTATTCAAATATTCATTCATTCACACAAACCAAATTAAATTACCAAAGTCACATCCTATCTCTCAAGTTATTTCGTCTTTCCTCCCCCCGTAGGTGAGGGTTGCGTTGAAAAGCAACTGAATACACTCTGGCGCAACTACACGCAAAATAATAAGCCCGACATGATCATGCGCATCAAGGTATGCGCCAGCGGTCTGAAAGCAACAACACGTCAACACGGACTCACCGAGTACTGGGCTAATCGCATCACACACTGTTGTGCGCCAAAGAACTATCCACGAATTTTCTGCTGGGTCTATCGACACGAAGGACGTAAGCTGAAACACGAGCTGCGCTGTCATGCGGTGCTCTGCAGCAAGGAGAAGGTGGTGCAGGATATTTGTCATACACTGAAGGTGAGCACTGTTGCCTCAATACATGCAAAGTTTTGTTTAATCTTCCTTTATTCGGCAGGAAAATCTGGAGCGTGCTTTGCGCGAATTTAAACGCGAGAAAATTCTCAAGCAGAATGCGCGACTCAGCCTGGCCAATGCAGCGTACGAAAACCCCAGTTTGCCACGACGCAAAATTCTGCTTAGCGTAGGCGGCAATAACTATCGACCACCGCTGGAGCGCTCCAAGTCAGCGCCTAAATTGATGGCCATTGAGGAGGCAATCGGCGAGGAAGAAGGCGAGGATGCTGAGGAGACCAATGAGCCGGAAATGAAGCCATGCTGTCAGAAAGACTCACTCTATCCCGCCATGACACTGGGACGTCGACGCTGTCGCCGCGGCCACTCCATAAGACGCACCGGTAAGGCACGTCCGCTTTGCAGCATTTCGTTGGACGAATCACAGCAGCGCAAGCAGTTGTTGGCTAACGACGTGTGCTGCCACAACAAACTGGCCGCCACCACCAAAGAAAGTGCAAACCAACAAAGCGCTACTGCGACGGCATGCACCGAGTTGGCGGAGGAGCAACGTCATAGCTATGGTTCTGATGACTCCGATGACTTCGAAAAACTGCTCAAGTATAACAACTACGATCCGAGTACATCGTTAGCGACCGAGCTGCTGCCCTACTTCGACATGCAGCTGCACAAAAATACCAGCAGCAGTCTTAGCGATTTGTGCGCGCTGAAGGACGAGGAAGAACCACTTAGCCTGTTGCCGACCATCAATAGTGATCCGATGGCGCATCCCGAGGGTGATCTAGTGCCTGAAAAGGCGGCGATCGAGGAGTCGGAAGAAACGCATGTGGGCCTGCGGCGCGATGGAGTGTGCAGCGATGGCGAGGAGGATTACCTAGACGCAGATGATATGTACTTTCGACAAGCGACTATTTTGAACATTTTGCATCGCAATTCTATGCGCAAAATGGCTCAACTGTCTATGAGCAGCGACGAGAGCAGCAGCATAGAAACGAATGCATCAGCACCGCTACAATACCGCCACCAAATGCAGTCATCCATTTCCTCCACGGCATCCACGAGCACAACAAACAGCAGCTCGGTGCAAGATGGCCACAGCAGCACGACGACGGGCAAGCGACACAGCGGTGCCGATAGCGATGAGGGCTCCATTTCGAGTGGCTGTGAGACAGCCAGCACAGTGACTGCGAATCAGGATGACCTCTCGCTGCAATACCGCCACGAAAAGCAGCTACTCCAGCTACAGCAACAGCAAGCAGCGCTGCTGGACGCAGACAATGCACAATTCTTTGAACTGCCAAGCGACGAGCAGTCGTCACCCATAACGGCCGATGAAATCTACCAAAGACTAGAGGCGCGTCTACAGCGACGACAGAACAGCGATGCAACCACCTTCAGCAGCTCCAGCACAATCACGCTAAAAGTGGGCAACGGCAGTGAGGGTTCGTTGCCCGACTCGCCAAATGAAACAGTTCAAAATAAAGTGCGCACGCTGGAAGACCAAATAACCAGCTTGGCGAACAACACATCACGTGTACGGCGTCAACGTCAACGTCAGCTAGCGGCAGCAGCTGCACCACCACCACGCGATTGTGCGGCAGATGATACCGATTCGGAATGCAGCGATGAATCCGGCTACGTGGAGTATCAGGAGCGCGTAAAGACTGTGCGAGAGAAGGTGTGCGAGGTGGAGCGACGACAGCTGCGCGAACAACAGGCGCAAGCGCAGCAGCAACAACAACAGCCGGTGGCGCAACAGCGTCTGCATAAGCCACAATTGCCACCCAAGCCGATGCCGCGTCGAACGCTGAGCGGTGGCAGTGGCGGTGGTGTGGTTGCTGGTAGCAACGCAATTTTGCTGACGGACGGTCCGTGCGCAGGCAACAGCACAGCGGTTTGAGGGGCGTAAAAGCTTTTAACTATGTACACATCTATGTGTATGTAAGGGATTCATACCATCCAGTGAGAGTTGTACATACCGGCTCAGTGAGAGGAGCGCGTGTGGGTGCTTAAAGTCGCCGAGTCTATGGATGCAATATTGCAACATCGAAAACTTTTGCAAAAGCCTAGCAATGCTGCTGGTGATTACCGATCATTTTTCGAACAAAATTTCATTTGTCTGTTTATGAAGTGCAAATTCAAATCCTTAAACAAACTCGGGAAACATTTTAATTGATTTTCAAAAGAAAAATGCTTATGTCGCTCACACACGCTTCAAAGCTTTGTAGTTAAGTATAAACATTTATTACGAGTACATATACATATTTATAAAGCTACCAAACAAAGGATATATGAATTTGTTTTTATGTTAGCATTTAAGTATTCCAAAAACTCATCATATACATACTACAATGAACTGTACAAAAAAAAAAACCAATTTATACAAAATTTATAAAAAATATGCATATATAAAATAAACAATATTTTATATAAATTATGAAAATGATTTTTATAGAAAACAATGCTATATGAAATGTTGAATTTTTTTTCGTTGCATTAAAGAGAAAAGTCGATGTTAGAATACTTTTATATACACTTTATTAAAAACCAATGTGCTTTATTTTATTATATTTGTAGCCATAAGAAAAATTCTAGTGCAATTAGTGAAGGATGGAAAGAAATGTAGGCATACATACATACACACTAGAAAAGTTTAATTCCTGCATAGATTTTTTCCACAATTTTCAAAACGTTATTGATAAAAGGAAATGTTCGTTAATTTTTTATAAAAAATAGACTTGTTCTTTAATAGAAACCTTTTAAATATAGATTCCAAATTTAGCCAGAAAAATTTGGCAAATTTTTTTATGTGGACGAAAATTCACAACACCGTCAGAACAAGAATTCACAAAAACCAACAGGATTTTGTAGCAACGCAAATTTTTTAAAAATTCGAAAAAAAAATTGTTAAAAGATTTGACTAAATTGTAACTAATGTTTAATTGGTTTATATTACACATTGAATTATACTTTTATGAAAAATTTTACTTTTTTTTAATGAAAAACATGAATAGCATAAAAAAATCTCTGTATGGAAACTTTTTCTAGTCTGCTTTTCATAAATACTTATTATTTACTATGAATTTCTTTTGAAACTAACTAATGAACTAGCTAGTTTCCCGAAAAAATAAATTATTTATGATGTTACCTTCAGGAATCCAAAAAATAAAAAAATATAGAAGAAAATGTTATTATTTGATAAAAGTGATTTAATTTCAGTAGTTTGGCGGTGAAACGAAGTACATAAAAATATTAGTGGCAGTTCGGCATACATTTATCTTTTTTTTAAGTTTATGTAGTAATATTAAGATTATCTCCACTTAAGAAAACAATTACGCAAAACAAAAAGTTATCTGCAGAATTTAAAATTTCACGCATAGAATATTATTAAATAGTGGTTGTTAGCTAAAAAAAAGTGTATTTAAATAATTTTCTTGATTAACTACAAATAAAAGTAATAGTCAAAAATATGCTTTCACAATTTTGTTTAACAGAGTCAGGGAACTTTAAATAAATAATTGTAAAAAAGAAATATGTTTATGTATATTTGTATGTATGTGCATATGTATATGTATAAATAAACATACATACATACATATATATAAATAAAAAATACAAATTTCTTTCATACATGTATAGATATGTATGTATGAATAACAGTGGTGGGCACAAAATTTAGGCGACGATTTCTTCACAAGTTTTGCCCCAATTATTTTTTTTACAAAAATATTCACACTACAACGAAAGTCTTATAACTTCAAAGTTCCAAACCTCGTACAATATACAATATAAAAATTCACGAATTTTTATAAATCTTTGGCAATGTTTGAAACTTTGAGTTACATGATTTTCGTAGTAGCATGAACTATATTTTCGTAAAAAAACGAATAAAGAAAAATAAATAAAAAAATAAATAGGCAAAACTTAAAAAGAAGAGATGTCCTTAATTATTTGGCCACCACTGTATGTATGTTTTTTTTCCTGATTGTTGCTGCCTCGTACAAAAAAGGGAGTATGATTTATATTAAAAATGCATGTGTTGAAATATATGTACATATGTACATATACAAAATAATTATTAAAAAAATTCAAAAAAAAATACCCTATCATTCATTTGTAAATATTTACATGGACTCACATACATATATACTTATGCACGTATACTTTATATATTTACGTAATACATAAATGCATTCATAAAAAAAAATTAAATATATTTTCCTTTCACACTGTAAGCTAAGCTCTAAAGTTAACAATTCGCAGCAGCATTTAATCTAAAATGTTTTACTAATTATGTCTCTTATGTCGAATTATTTACTAAATACGTAGTCATTTTTTTATGTCATGGCAACATGCACGAAAATTAAAATATGGAATTCTAAAATTCGTCTTAACATCCGATTCTCTTTTTACATGGTTAGCCGGGCAAGTAGAAAATTCGCGCTAAAAACTGTGTATAAGGTTAGATTTTTGAACAAAATTTTTTTCGTTGTAAAAGTATCTAAACAGCTCCTTCACATTGGAATTTTGCTGGACGTTCTACTTTAGGGTTAAGACACAAATTTTGAACAAAGCCTAAGAGTTGATATTGAACTGTTTAAAAAAGGTAGAACCATGTAAAAAGAGGATCAGATATATGTATATATATGTACATACATACATCTATGTATAGGCATTGAAAACCATTAACTATTGTATAAAGGAAACTAAACTGCTGCATAAATACATATGTCTGTATATACTATGTAGGTATGCATGTAGATACACTCGTATATATTTTGGATTAATGTACATACATATGTATATCTAGTATATAAGCACAAAGATAAGCACATTATATACTATATATGTCAATATATATTAAAACATTTTGAAGAGAATAAATTAATATTTGAATTCAATCAAATGCAATTTTATGTTAATTTTTTGAAAACCCACCTAAGAAGTCGAAACGAAATGGCATTTCATAAGAAACAACAATGAGCTTCTCTTTCATCGAACAAATTAAAATGTTTTGAATGATCTTGTGCGTGTCCGCTGCAGGGTTGCGTGATTTAAACAAAAAAAAAGTATTTTTTAGTTGGAAAATCACGAATCAAATTGATTTGCTCGACGAGTCAAATCACAAATAAAATTTGCTCATGATTTGATTCATTCAATAAATAACAAATTTATGTTATTTACAAACAAAACAAAACCTACTTCAATTGTCATATAAAAATTTAAGAGTACAGCTAATTTCTTCATGATCCGACGATCGGACCTAAACCAAATTAGAATGGAACCACCTTGAAATCGGTTAACGTAGTCCGAAGTTATGCGGTAACATAAGTAAAAAAAATATTCCGACGCATTGATATCCTCCTCCTCCTTTTTTTGAGGTCGGTTAAACAGTACCGAAATTAAACATCCAAATTTTCAAATTTTTAGGCTTAGTTTCCAGCTCTCAAGAAAAATCACTTCTGTCGCTTGAAAAATTACTTTGCCGTTACTGTAAATTTTCTTGAAAAGCATTCTTTTCTCGAGAGCTGCAAACAGATCAACAGGCCAACCTAACACTGTCAACAATTTGTCATACAACTTGTATGGGACCAACCGGGTTTAAACGACGCACAGTCCCATACAAAATGTGGCAAAAAATAGTAAACGTGCTCCGGTTTTGCCAAAAAATTGTAACGAAGAGTACTTTTGCCTAGGAATGAACGAATATGAAATATGGTAGAATTTAGCGAACTACCACGCCCACTACACTAGGGATTTGTTAAATGTAATCCGATGAGCTTTATACCACGATTATGTTTATTAGGAAAAATGAAAAAAGCAACAAAGTCTGAGCGGTAGTAGTTATAGCTGCTATATCGGAGATCACCACATCTTCTTTTTCTAGACTTCAGCAGGGATCGAAACCGCATCATCGAAGTGCCAAGTCAGAAGAGCTTCCTAATGCAACCTACTACTATCAAGTGCAGCTAATTTTCCGCTATTTAATGAAATTCGATTTGCAACTTGGATTATCCTAGGACGACCCTAAATCTGAGATATGGTGAAAATCGGTCAACTATCACGCCCACCAGCCATCGGAATTCTGAATAAAAAGTAAGCAATTGCTTTTTCTTAAAATTTCAGAACTTTTTCTCGACTTATTCCAATAAATTTGAGTAAAAAGCCCATACGACCCAATGTTCTAAAAATAAAAATCAGAATATTTAACTTTTAATTTGCGGTGCCTGATGATAATACGATTTCATGTTCATGAAAGCTATAAAAAGATTGCTGACCGTGGGACTTGAACCGACGACCTCGCGGCTTGCTTAAACCGCATTACTGTCGTCTACCAAGGCAAAAATTTTGATCATATCAACTGCGCCTTTAATCCGGATTAACGTTGCCAGTCTGTCTATGCTATAAGATGACGGCATTAGAATGAAACGTAAAATAATTAACTTGAACACATAACGAGACACTCTGAGTAACGCCTATGAAGTTTCTTTAAAGCGTAGGTTTCAACATTTTTGTACTTATTAGTACATATGTACATACATAACGAATACAAATAACCGCAAAAATTTTCGTACGTATTTAGCTTGCATCATTCGCTCGGTGCAGCGCAACAAGTTGCCCAATGAAGCGGCGTGTAAAAATGTATAGCGTCGCTTAAGCTTGCTCCCAAACCAAGAAAACCGCATTTGCTAAAAACAAACTAAGTAATTTGCATACCTTATTTATTTTCATTACACTTAATTGCATTAACGGCGAACAATAAATATTGGTAATGGCAAAACAATTTTAATTTAAAGCAGATATTAATCCCAATTTTCTAATAACACTGTGCTACAGCCGAAACCAGCCCGACTTTGTTAACATAAAAAACACTCGATGGATTTACAAAAGTTAGCTCGTATTTTTATTTTATGGAATACTAAAGTTTTCATGTCCCGGCCTAAGTAGTTTTCAAAAATGGATAAAATAAGTGTCTGGGCGAAATTAAAACACAGTAAAATTTCATGGGAAATATTTTCGTAGAACATTTTAACCCATTAGCTACCGTCTGAAAGGCTCGTTTTGACTCTTACTTCAAGAAACCCTTACGGGCTATAAAATTAAAACCAGAAATCTATGCCTAGAAGGAATAACAGCCAAACTCAATTTTAAAAAATTAAAAAAAAAACACAAGTTGCTTTTTTTAATTTGCTTGTAGATTTTTTTAATTTTAATATTTTTAGAGACTTACGTTGATGGCATGAAGCTTTTGCCTGAGAAGACCCCGAGTAAAATTTTCCGAAGAATAATTTTCTAGAATATATCAATCCTCTAACGAACTTCCAAATTTGCTTTTTACGGGGTTTCTTGAAGTAAGGGTCAAAACGACCCTTTCAGGCGGGAGCTAATGGGTTAAAATGTTCTACGAAAATATTTCCCATGAAATTTTACTGTGTCTTAATTTCGCTCAGGCATTTATTTTCAACATTTTTCCCACTTTTTTGAAAACTACCTAGGCCGGGACATGGAAACTTCAGTAGGCCATAAAATAAAAATACGCGCTAACTTTTGCAAATCCATCGAGTTTTTTTATTACTGGATATGTATACTTTCAGAAAATATTAGCAAGGTCCGGGCTGGTTTGAATTATCATAAACTTGTCGCACAGTGTATTTAATCCAATAATACAAATTTCTAAGCGCCTTGCAACTACATACATACATATGTATGTAAGTATGTATAGTATACGCCATGCTTAGTGATATTTCGGCGCACACTGATGACTTCACTTACTGACAAGACTCATTGGCAATGCCTCGCTTCTGCAACAGCTTACAGACGGTGGCGTGGAAATCGTAAAATGATGCATCCTGAAGTAATTGATTGAATTCCTGTAGCGAGAAAGCCAAAAAAAAAACTTACTTAGCAGGCATGATGAATGATACAAAAATCCAATATGTTGCGTGCAATATGTTGCGTGCAATATGTTGCAACGCAAGCTAAAGCAAAACCAACAAACATTCACTTACACCATTGTAAACAATTGTCGGCACAAATTTGGGAGCATACTGATTGGTCACCTGCTCTGCCAACAGCTGTAGCTGTGTACCCAATTTTGTGTTGACGCAATCGCCAACATCGCTGCTTAGATCAACCAAATTGGCGCACTGAAAGTTAAATGTAACAAATTTTAAGGCAAAATGCAAAATGTACATAGGCGGCTACTTACTTCCTCCACACTTTGCTTATCTCTTGTGGCCATCTGACAAATGGCAAATCGAACGCGCTGATCCTGTGTGCTTTGCTGATTTAAAACGCAAGATTGCAAACGGTTTCCAGAGCATTCTGCCGGTCCATGTTGACAATAGAATTCGCTGCCATAATTGACGGACTGTTGAAGAGTTAGATACATACATACATATGTAAGTGATTCAGAGGATGTCATTGTAAATGATTTTCGTCTTGAAATAAACGTCCCGCGAGATGACAAAAAAACAAAAAAATCCCATATAATTACTATGGGAAGACGTAAATAATTTGCAAACTTGCAAACAAAACGTTATCTTCTCATTCTCAAACGCGCAAAGTGTCCCGTGCCGAACAAGCTATGTATGTACATAGGTGGACAATATTATTCACGGTTATTTTTACGATATATTTTTGCGATATATACGATTCGTTCCTTCAGATTGGTTCTTGTTTGCGTTTGATTACGAATTTTGCTAAATTTTTTTAATTTTTTTTTATTTTACGAAATTTTTTAATTTTAATATTTAATTGTTGCATGTAAATAACTAAAAACCTAAAAATACAGACGTAGTCCTCCTTTTTCTCTTATTTAAACGGTACATAACTTTTTTTGAGCAAACTTATATTACAGGTGATATAAGGGGTCAAAAAAGTTCAGGTCTTCGAAAAATTTAGTTCCTTATATGTATTTCAAACAATTTTTAACTGATTTAAAAAGTTTATACCGTTTTAAAGATGATTAAACCCCATTTCTTCTGAAATGCGTATTTGTATACTTCGTATATAAAAATTGGAGAAAAAACACATTTAAATGAAAAAAAAATACCTCTTTTTATAAAAAAAAAAATATTTTAAACAAAAAAATGTCCAGCCGATTAAAAAAAACCGAGAAATCTCTTTTTTACCTATGACCCAATCTCTTAAAAAAGTTAGTTTGGCTAAAAACCCAGCCGAATGCTGTACATTGTTATATAGTAGATCCGTAATTTTCGACCCAAAATGGAGCTCTGAGATTTAGGCGTTTTTTTGTCACATTTTAGCGTTCTAAGTGTTATATACGACGATAAATTCACTTTTACAGCTCTAAGACTTGCCCACTAAATATCTCAAAATTTTGACGTTATACGGCTTGTCTGAAAGCTTAACGTAATCTAGAGCCCAAAATAAAGTTAACGTTTTCGGCCGTTTAGCTGTGATATTTTTGCCTCCCTACTATTTTATTGTATTTATGTATTGTTTTATACGAGTACCTAAGTACTCCTTTTTATGCAGGAAAATGTATTAAAAAACGTTCATACTTACACGTGATTTTCCAAACGGCACCAGGTTTATGTTCAAGTTAGCTTTGAGTTTATCGTAGGCGGGCGCTAACTGCTTGGTCATAAAATTAATGCTGTCCGGACAGAGCGATTCATACAAAATGGTAACATCGATCTGAAGGAGATACATACATACATACATGAGAAAATTATTAAATAAATAACACTACGTAGCAATGGGTTTAATAAATACTTTTTTGTTAAAAAATTATTTAAGTAAACACATGCGACAGGCGCGTGTAAATTGATGATAAAGTTGCCATCAGGGTTGCATATTACCATACTAGGGTAAATTATTACCAAAATTGATAGACAAAATTTGGGTTGGTAAAAAGGTACATTTTTTCTCATTTGGTGGATTTTTGTTAAAGTATTTTATTTGGAAAACAAAAATAATTTTAGTTCCCGCTTTATTTTTCATAGTGGTCTTTATATTATAAAGTCCTTTCAACTTTATTGCATTAATTCTTCAACGCTTTATCGATAAAACATATCGAACATATCGTGCTCTATTCAAAACTCATTTTACCTGAGGATGTTTTGATTGACTAAACATTTTAAATTATTGTTAAAATAAAAAGCAAAAATGGACAGATATATAGGTAATTATAAACTATGATTGTTCGCAAAAAAAAATTAAAACAAATCACCGCCAGTTTTTAAAAATGGCAATTGTTAAATTGAAAAAAAAAAGACCGGTGACAAACATTTTTTTTTTTATTTAAATCAACGGGAATTTTTAGCTGCACATTGTTGGTTATACTAAAATTCCAAAATTTTGCCAAAAATTCAGCGTAAAAAGTTCGAAATTTGGACAAAATATTTTTGATTTTTTCTAAATGTTTTAAATAGCTTCTATCATTGCTTTTTATGGGTTGGGTTAAACGCAAACAATATTCTCATATAAAAAAATTAGCAAACAAAATTTTACTTGAAAAACATTGTGAATATTAAAAATATACATAACGGCTTTTTGAGTCACTGTATTGTCTATATAACTCCAGTTGAAGTTTTTTATTTAAATAATGAAGTTTCGTTGTTGCCTTTAGTTCCATCCTGAAACGGAGACGATGCCATTAATATGATCTCAAAAACCATATCATTACTTAAATAAATTAAAAATATAAACAATTAACAATTTTTTTTAAATAACTAAACAAACACAACAAAACTACAGTTTTTATTCTCTTAAAATAAAAAGTTTTTGGTACATATTTTCCAGATTTGGTAGATTTTTTCAAGTGGATGGTAAGTATTTTTTTACGTCATTGACAACCCTGGTTGCAATTTTTGGTGGCAAACTTAACGTCCAAGTGCCGTTGTGGTACCATAAACCTCCAACGTAGTTAATAAAATTGAGAACCACTACAAGCCTCCCAAAGTGAGTTCTGGAATTTCAAACAGATCGTGTGCTCTTTTGAGGCTATATTGTACACTTACACCTGCGCCTACGACGATTACTGAAGGTTGTGGAAAAAAGTTCACCCATACATATGTGCCAAATTTAAGATAATCATTAATATCTTCATGATCCAATGATTGGACTAAAAACCAACTTAGTATGGGAACACGTGTGAGGTAACACCTTTCCGAAAAAAAAAATAAATTATAGAAATCGGTTAACGTGGTCCAAGGTTATGCGGTAACAAACATATATAAAAACAATATTCCGACGAATTCATAACCTTCTCCTTTTTGTGAAGTCGGTTAAAATTATAGTTTTTCACTTCATTTATTGAAAAATATCTATAACTAACTTTTACCCGCGGGTTTCATCCCACGTGAGAAGTAATTAAAAGGGTCTCGTGACTTGTGGGCCCGAAGCTATGGCTAATAAAAAATTCCACGCCCATGTTAAGTGCTACGCCCCCTTTTACAAACTCATTTATATATACCTTACTATAAGCACCCACCGTAGATATGTTTACATACCAGAATTCAAGTTCATGTGACTTACAGTTCCGAAGTCAAAGCTGATTAAATAATTCACGTCTATGGGAGGTGACACGCCCCCTTTCCCAGTACTACCCAATTTTCTCTATGCCTATAACCTTCGCGGGGTAAAAACAAATAAGTGTGCAAAGTTTCGTGCGATTCCGTGTCGCCGCTCAGAAATTATAAGGTAATAAACAAACAGCCATTCACATTTATATTTAAAAATAGATATTCAGAAAACAAATGAACACGTTTGTTGTATTTAAAGATAAAATATATATACTCCACATGGAGTGACGTACAAACGTATTGACGCAGAAAATGTTCCGCAATTAAATTTTTATTTAAGAATTGAAGTCGGTTTTTGCTTAAAAATTACTTGTTTAGTTAAATCTACCTCTTTTTATTTTTAACTCTGTCACATGAAAATACTAAATAAACCGGTGAGGGCACGCCGCATTCAGACGCACTTGACCAAAATAAGTCAGTACGCGCTCGTTGCATTGCGCGTCAGCCTTCAACTAAAAATAACCGTTTTCCACATTGCGATCCATTTTTTATCTCAACAGAATATTTTAGAGAGTAAAATTTTGCATACATATGTGGTGTTTTTTTTCGTGTGAAAAAGCGGTGGAAAAAACTATTATTTTTATATTTTTATATTTAAAAATTATTTTTAAATAAATTATCCCTATGTTCTTGAATAGTTTTTAATAACAATGAAAATGACGGTTGAATTGTCAAAATCGGTCAATTTGACCGTTTGTAATTGAATTTTGAATTAAAAAGGACATATAAAAACACTTGTCGATATACAAAAAAAAAATATTCTAAGATTCTTTAATGGGGAAGATATCTATCACCATTCAATAAATATGGTGGGCGGGACAAAGATAGAAATAGTTGTTTGCAGCTGCCATGCATGGAAACGCGAAATTCAGTGTAGAATTTGGTTGGCAGCAAATAGGCTAAAGGCTCCGTTATGCATACTTGGCATTGCTTGAGCGTTGTCACATAAAGAATCTGTTAAATGAGCTTCGCGTGTAAGCGGTTACCCAACGCACAGCATTACATACGTAAAAGTCTGTTGGTTTTTGATTTCTACGTAAAAATGGTATAGCAGTGCATGCAATGCCAAGTATGCATAACAGAGCCTTAAGACTACGAATCCGTTACGCTGTGTTCAGACGCAACGTGGGTTGTGCGACAGAGAGTTGTGAAGGAAAGAGAGACGCATGCTACGAAATATATAAAAAGAGAAATCCTGAAATGAAAGAGTGCGAGTAGTTTCGTGGTGCTGATGGACGGGTAAAACCTTCTAAACACTTTCCAGAATATTCGGCTACTTAAGAAAGGTTTTAACACCTCGGCAAGCTGTAGTAGAATTAAGAACGGTAATCAGAAGAGAGATGTCCAGAGTATCGGCTGTAAAACCTTATGGAGTGTATTGTATGAAAGACTAAAATCGACCGCCGTCGAACTGATTGGACCTTCTGAGACCAGGTATTCACCACATGCCAAATCTTGGAAAAGATCCGCGAGAATAGTATCGACACACACCATCTCTTTGTCGATTTTAAAGCTGCTTTCGACAGAAGGAAAAGGGGTTGCATTTATGCCGCGATATCTTAATTTGGCATCGCATTGGAAATGGACAGGACCTCTCCGTGCCGTTTGTCACCAAACGGATGTTTCAGACGAGGCGACTTCCTGTCGTGCGACTTCTTTAAAATTATGCTGTAAGAAATAATAACGGCTGCACGACGAAATCGCTCAGGTACAATAGGGGTCTTCCCATAAACTCGTAAAAGCCTTATAAACCTCCTAAGGCTTTGTAAAGTTACGAGCCTCCTAAAAAAACTGTGAAAATTTGTATGGAGCTCTATCTACAAGCCCCTTGTGATAAAATTACGCGCCAAATTTGATGCGCCAACGACCTCGTAAACTTCAGTGTTGCCGAGGGCCGACATTTTTATACTAAAGCGTATGATAAAATAATGAATGAATGTCATCCACTAATTGTTTTGAGTTAGGTTTTCTGCTAATTTTCGGCATTTTTAATTGTATTTTAGCCATGACTACGAAACAAAAATTGTTTAACAAAATCCTGATTGATCTGTCACGCACCCATTTACACCTTTTCACACAGGGGTCGGTCGTTCCCATAAAAGCCATGTAAACTTAGGAGTTTTACACAATTTAAGACCTTGCGAGGGAGGGGGGGGGGGGGGGGAACCCCTTAAATATCTTACAGGAAAGTACAATGCCGATGTTATGGACCAAAAAAAAATTTATTTAAGTAATTTCGCGGTTATATTTTGACAGAGTGTATTACTTATTAAATAAATCATATAATTATACAAGCATATTTACGATAAGAATTTATCACGCCCATTACCTTATTTGCATCAATACTTTGCGGCGCTTGTGCGCTGACCGACACAGCAAAACTAAATGGAAGCAGTAAGAGCACCAAACATTTAGTATAAACGTTCAGCATTTCGTTAAATGGATTTTTAAATCGTCGATTTATGCGATATTTGCTAGTATCCGTGTTGACACTGTCGGTTAATTTTTTTTTCGCTTCTTTTAATTCAACTTCGGCATGAGCAGCTGAACTAATATCGCCAATTCACGTCGATACAGTTGAACAACTTTTTCGTTCAAAATTTTTTTGCACTATTTTCCTCCTTGTCTTATCTTATTTAACAGGCCGCCAATTCAAAAAAAAAAAACAAAAAAAAACAATCTTACAAATCGTTGCGCCGTTTTAAGTAAATCGCTTCAGCGTATAAAAATTTCACAGACGTCTGTACGTTTCGGCGGTGGGCAAACGAATGGATACAACGTTGATATCGTTTTCGGTCTGTCGCTAACAACCGCAATATCAACAGCAACAGCAAGAGCAACTATTGCAGCAACAACAACAACAATATGTAGTGTAGTAAGCGCCAACCGATGGTCATTGAGTCTGCTAGCAAACGCTTAAGCTTATAACGGGTGATTTTTTTGAGGTTAGGATTTTCATGCATTAGTATTTGACAGATCACGTGGGATTTCAGACATGGTGTCAAAGAGAAAGATGCTCAGTATGCTTTGACATTTCATCATGAATAGACTTACTAACGAGCAACGCTTGCAAATCATTGAATTTTATTACCAAAATCAGTGTTCGGTTTTTTCCGCTTTTTTATCGACAAATTTTGTTCAGCGATGAGGCTCATTTCTGGTTGAATGGCTTCGTAAATAAGCAAAATTGCCGCATTTGGAGTGAAGAGCAACCAGAAGCCGTTCAAGAACTGCCCATGCATCCCGAAAAATGCACTGTTTGGTGTGGTTTGTACGCTGGTGGAATCATTGGACCGTATTTTTTCAAAGATGCTGTTGGACGCAACGTTACGGTGAATGGCGATCGCTATCGTTCGATGCTAACAAACTTTTTGTTGCCAAAAATGGAAGAACTGAACTTGGTTGACATGTGGTTTCAACAAGATGGCGCTACATGCCACACAGCTCGCGATTCTATGGCCATTTTGAGGGAAAACTTCGGAGAACAATTCATCTCAAGAAATGGACCGGTAAGTTGGCCACCAAGATCATGCGATTTGACGCCTTTAGACTATTTTTTGTGGGGCTACGTCAAGTCTAAAGTCTACAGAAATAAGCCAGCAACTATTCCAGCTTTGGAAGACAACATTTCCGAAGAAATTCGGGCTATTCCGGCCGAAATGCTCGAAAAAGTTGCCCAAAATTGGACTTTCCGAATGGACCACCTAAGACGCAGCCGCGGTCAACATTTAAATGAAATTATCTTCAAAAAGTAAATGTCATGGACCAATCTAACGTTTCAAATAAAGAACCGATGAGATTTTGCAAATTTTATGCGTTTTTTTTTAAAAAAAAGTTATCAAGCTCTTAAAAAATCACCCGTTAGTACGCCTTGCGCTTAAGCCGGTTTCGAAGGCGCAATCAATTGTTGGACGGACGGACGGAGCTGGCGAACGTTTACTAAGAGCAAAATATGTAAATAAGTGATTACTTAGCATGTATGTATGTATGTAGTAAGTACAAACAAACAGGTGTATAAATATATGGACAGTTATTTAATAACAAATTGCGAGCAAATAGAGGTGAGAAGCGACAAGTATTTGGGTTCTACTAAAATTTATAATTTTACGACCAATTTCGATTTGGATTTGTAACTTAATTTATGTGGTTAAATGCATAAAAATGCTTTTTTATGAGTTTATTAGCTTACCCCATCCACCAGCTATTTTGCTAATTTTTCATTTCAAATCTGTGTGTGTGTGTGTATTGTACATATTATCTGTCTCCAGCTACTTTATCATAGTTCCATAATTCACAAAAATAACGGTATAAATATTTTCTGCTCTAGATTTGATTATTCATCTAAATCTCTTTTATTAACTCACCGTTCATGCTCCATAACTAGATTGACTATTTCTAAGTCGCATTTGCTTTTTCGACTTCTTTATTCCTTTTTGTTATCACAACTGTTTGCACTTTCTGTTGGTTATTTATTTAGCCTTGGCTTGTAGTTTGCGTTTTTTGCCAATTTGCCACTTTTGCCGCTATAAATTTAAGCAAAACAACTTTAAAACGCATTTTTTGGCCTGAAATAAAATCGCTTCAGCAGAGTTCATTGTGTTAAGTGAAATTTTGTAACGGTGAAC